ACTACATGTTGATTAAAAAAAACTATGTGTCCATGATATTAAACACTATCACAATCTTATGTATACTAATGGAGTTATTCTGAAGATTAAAGTGAAATAATCATTTAAAATAATTAATATGTTGTCCAGGTATTACATACACAATACACAATAAATGTTATTTGAAGATTGTTTATAAATTTCTACAGATGTATTTTTCCCAAAATGCATTATTTGGTTTTGTCAACTATAGTGACAATAAATTTAGGTGTTTTCTAGGCATATACACTGAATATTCCTAAACGGACAATTCAGTTATATTGGTGGTTATTACTAAGGCAAAATTGTAGTTAAGGTTCCTTTTTGAAGGCCTTATTTAAAATTTAGTGGAACTTCTCTGATCATGGAAAAGTTTTATTTCATTTATGTGAAAATATAAAATAGTTTTTATTTAAAAATTTTCATTATAAAACTAACTTATACATTTAAAACAAAGCTTAGGAAATTGGAAAGAATTCTACCTTCAAATACAGTAAGTGTTAACTCTTAACATTTTAGTATGCTTTTAAAAATATTTATCCCATATTTGTTTTTAAAAAACAGATTAAAGGGGACTGGGAATTTAGCTCAGCAGTGTAAGTGCCTGCCTGGCAAGCACAAGGTCATGAGTTCAATCCCTGATACCAAAAACAAAACAAAAACAAAAATAAAGACAAAAACAAAAAGAACCCCAAAGCAGATTAAATCACTTGGTAGGTACAATTTACAGCTCTGTATTTATCTATTAGTATTATAAGCTTGTGTTTCATAATTTGGTATCTTTATTTTAAAAATTTTTTTTGGTCTTTTTCCTTTTTATCAGTACCAGGGATCGAACTCATGACTGCCTGCTTGCAAGGCAGGCACTTATGCCACTGAGCTAAATCCCCAGCCCCATTTTTAAAAAAAATTTTTATTCTGAAAGTATACAACAGAACAAGACAAAGCCAACTAAGATCGTACAGTGAAATTGGTACAGAACTTCACAGCAGGTTATCGGGATAACAGTAATAACTATCACAGTATACTTTGTTATTTTTATAATAGTTGTTCTTTCAATCATGTATATCAAAATGAGATGAAATATAGAACACTATAGAACTTATTAACAGAATATTGAATAGAGCAGTACCATTAATCAGAAAAGAGCAAAACAGTAATAAAAATATTTGCTTTCAAAGAGATAGTAGAAGGAAGTGTCCCTTATTTGCTATGTCAGCCTCCCAGGAGACACTCAGATTTCTGGTTTCCATTTGCTAACGGGAGGCAGGATGGGGGAGGGGGAGAGAAGGAGGCTAGGGGAATGGGATATTTGGCTCTAGGCCGTGCATCAGCATCAGTAGGTTCACTATTGCTTAGCAAGGAGGCAGGCTGGGTGTTTGGTTTCACAGCATCCTAAGTTTCAACATGGTGTGGATTTCAGGAGCTGCTGCTGGTTCTCCCCCTGGAAGGGCCGCAGTTTGCCAGACCACCACTGCTTACCAGGGAGGGGAGGTGTTTGCTTGGCTTCCCAGTGTCCTACATTCCAACATGGCGTGGATCTCAGGAGCTGCTGCTGGTTATCTCCCTGGAAGGGCCGCAGTTTGCCAGATTGCCACAGCTTACCAGGAAGAGGGGGTGCTTGCTTGGCTTCCCAGTGCCTTAAATTCCAACATGATGTTGATCTCAGCTGCTGCCGATAGTTCTCCTGCTGGAAAGGGCACAGTCTGCCACACTGCCACCACTTACCAGGGAGGGGAACTGCTTGGTTGGCTTCCCAGTGTTGTAAGTTCCAACATGGCATGGATCTCAGGAGTTGCTGCTGGTTCTCCCCCTGGAAGGGCTGCAGTGTGCCAGACTACCACCGCTTATCAGGTAGAGGGGTCCTTGCTTGGTTTTCCAGTGCCGTAAGTTCCAACATGGCGTGGAATTCAGGAGCTGCCGATGTTTCTCCCGCTGGAAAGGTTGCAGTCTGCTACACTGCCACCTCTTACCAGGGAGGGGAGGTGCTTGCTTGGCTTCCCAGTATCCTAAGTTCCAACATGGCAGGGATCTCAGGAGCTGCTGCTGGTTCTCCCCCTTGAAGGGCTGCTATTTGCCGACCACCACCGCTTACCAGGGAGGGGAGGTGCTTGCTTGTCTTCCCAGTGTTCTAAGTTCCAACATGGCGTGGATCTCAGGAGCTGCAGGTTCTCCCCCTGGAAGGGCCGCAGTTTGCCATACCCATAATTTGGTATCTTTATAAACAATTAATATTAAAATTTGTGTCACATAATTTGGTATCTCTATAAACATTTTAATGGATGCATTTTTTTGTGTGTGCTGGGAATCGAACTGACATGTGCTAAGTACACTCAGTACCACTGAGCTACATTCTCAACACCTCAGTGCAAATATTTTATCTACGTTTTCGCAACTTCTATTAGTTTTATTTTTAAAGTGATTTTGGGATAGATTTTCTAAGTACACAATTATCCAGAAACATAAATTTTACCTTTTTATAATTTTTACATTTTCCTCTTGTTCTTCTTGCAAGGCCTCAATCTCAAGAATGGATACAGTCAAGACCACAATGCAAATATAGACTATCAATAAAAAGGAATCCCATGCAATTTTCTCATGAAGGTCCATTTTGACTATGCAGTGCATCTTCGTAGCTATTACTGTAATTGCCTAGATTCTTTCATTGCCTAGATTGCTTACTCTATTACTTGGTCCAAATGAGCTGACCCTAGAGCCACTGTGTTCTATCTCAGAAGCCCTGTGCTCTTTAGCTTCTTCAAAGAAGAAAGCCTCATTCCTGGAGGAGTGTCTTAGTTACTTTTTACTCCTCGCTGAGACAAAATACCTGAAGCCCAAGTTGGGAAAGGAAAGGTTTATTTCTTACAGTTTTTGGAGGTTTCAGTCCACACTCGGCTCCAAGGCAGGCAGGCATGGCTGGGCCGCAGCTCATGGTGGCTGCAAACAGCAAACAGGAACCGGCAAAGAGCAAGACACACCTTCTTCCTGCCATTACATCACATCCAGGCTCCACCTCTATGTGGGTGGAGCACTGACACCATCAATTCAAGCACTAGACAATGAACCATCACAAATGCACAGTGCAAATGCATGAGTCCTGGGGGCCACAGACATAAACCATGACAAGGAGGTCCAGAAAAAACCCTGGAGGCTGTGGAAAAAAGCAGACAGACAGGAAGCCTAGGTGCTGTAGCAACTGATAGAGAAAATATGAGCCCCAAGTCCTTCACAAGGATTTGGAGAAGAGTAATAACTTCAACGGGGATGGTGGAGGAAAAGCTGATTCAGAAAATGGAGCACATTAAGGAAATCCTTCTGGCCAGTCTAGCTGCTATCAGTGAACTTCTACCCAAAGGGAAGTGTCTTGCCCAGGAGCACAGGAACTGCGGCCGAACCTCCTAGTTGAGCCGAAGCCCAGGCAGATGTCAGCCCCTTTCCACCCCTCCCCTCCCCTCCCCTCCCCTCCCCTTGTGGCACCTCCACCCCTACAGCCTAAGGATCATGCCAGATCAGCATGGGATGTGCATGACCTGGTTTTGAAAGAACTCGTTAAAAACAGAACAGAATCAAGCATTAAAACAAAACAACACCCCCCCCCGAAAACAGTGTAAAAAATTAATAGTACAAAGCTAGATGATGTAAAATAGTTTTTTTAAAGGGAAAAAAACAATGATACAGAATTTCAAAATACGCAAATAGGGTACTAATAATAGTTCATGTAGTGCATTTTGTTATCCTCAAAGTAGTTGCTCAGATTGCAAGATATAGGCATGGAAAATTGATCAAAATTATGAGCACAAACAGTTTATTTCAATGAACTAATAGAAATTAGTCATATAATTATCTCAGCTATTATATATATATATAAATTTTTCTTTTTCTTTTCTTATTTTTTCCTTTCCCATAATCCCAGTTGTTCTTTCCTTTCGAGACGCTTCTTCCTCTTTTAAATACAGAGTTTTTTGAGGAAGAAAAGGACTAAAGAAAGGCCTTTGGGCTTCATGAGTAGGAAGTCAATGATTCCTCAGAGAGACATTTTAATAGACAGCTGTGGATGGAATCCAAACTGTAGTTGACTGAGTTTTGGACTCAAAATGAAGGAGATACAGTGATTATTGATTTTTCTTTCCTGTTTAGTGACAAAGGAGAGAAAGAGATACACATTAAGGGGAAAATAGATCTTAAGGTTTTTCCTTTTTTTTGGTGTGTGTGTGCATTTCTTTTTTATAACAGGCAACGGTATTTATAGACCGAAAGGAAAGAAACTTGCTTGCAGAGATTAAAGATTTTGATGAAATAATGTTTTAAATATTAATAAGCCTGAAGGAAGGAAACTTTCAGATGGAAAGATTAAAGACTGATGAAATACTGTTTTGGAGACATCAGGAAATCAGGGTAATGAACTAAGCTGCAAGAATTAACCTTTATGAAAAGGGAAACTTTATTATCTGAGAAAGGAAGAAAAGAGAAAAGTATGAGCACACAAAGAAACTGAGGAGCGGGAGGAAGTTCAGGGAAATAATGCTCATCCTTGATTTCTGGGAGGTGAGGTCATTTATTGAGCCTAAAGATAGAACAAGTAGGCTTCTGGAGACTTGAAAATCATAGGAAAAGTTCTCCAGTTTTCCAAGAGGATGTTTGATAATAAGTTAATCAGAGATGGTTGAAAGATAATTTAGCAGAATTAAGAGATGAGTCGAAATAACATTCATTTATAGATAAGAAACATAATGCAAGGTCGACTGGAGTTTGTTTCTATTTTGGTATAATTATAAATATTGCACGCCAAGTCTCCTAAATATCACTGACAGGGAAATCTGCAAGCAAGGAGGTTTTTTGGGGAGTACCTCTAGGACTGACAGGTTGGAGAAGAGGGCAAAGTAGGCCTGGGGAGAAAGAGCTCTTAGTTTGTGATGCGATCTTGACAAATGTCACAAAGGTGCCTGCTCTGCTGATTTCTTTCCTATTGAGGAGAGGGGCAAGCTACTCTAAGGACATGCTAATCTATCACCGATGTAAGGTCCTCCTGGTAAGAGCGTGTGACCTCAGCTGAGGAACTCTTTTCAGCTGAGGACAATTTTTAGAAAGACCGAGAGCTGAGTGCAGAAAGCTGGCAGCACGTCAGCACTAAGAGGGGTAAGTCTTCCCACCTCAGCCCAAGCACCTTGGGCTTCCAAGCACTCCTTGCGCTGCTTAAACCTACTTTCAGGGACCAGACAGATTCTTGGGAATCGTGCTGATCCACCTTCCATGGCGGAATATTATAAGAGGTAAGTTAGTTGGGTGTGTTCCTCATCTTGGCTTGTTATTATTTCCTCTCAACCTGAGCTTCCACCTTTTCTGATCTAAATGGCTTACCTTTGAGTTCCCCGGCCTTTATTTCTGAGGTATCTACACTTATCATCAGGATTTAGCAAGTGCATCATCAGTTTACCTTCAAATGTGGGCCAAAATACTCAGAGATACTTGAATGAATAACTGAAGGTTAAATATATTCTTCCTGTTGTATCTCCTCTTGACGGGATGGTGATTGTTCATTTTGCATACTTCTTCCTTGGCTCAAGAATACCAAAGTGCCCAGCTGTAGATTGAAAATTTCTGGGTCTCCTTTGGAAGCCAGGAACCTGTAAATGTAGAATGCATTCTAGTTGGGAGGCTAGGAAGCAGCAGTTCCACGAGTGGGTCATGGGAAGTGGGCAGGAGTAGAGCGATCCCATTGTTCTATGATGTAATAATGCTCAGTGACTTGGAGTATACAGTGCAGCCTCACAGATGGTGCTGTATCTCAGGGCGCAGCCTCTGAAAAACTCAGGTGTGGCTTTAACAGCCTGGTTGTTTGCTCCATTAAGCGGTAGCCTTCTGAGTAATTTTGCTTGTGGTGGGATGCTGGCTCCCACCTCAGAACCACTCCCCACTCTCCCACTTCAGAACCGCCTTTACTATAGCACGAGTCTCTCGATCTGCTGTGAGTTCTGGGGGACTGTGTTCTGGGGAACTAGGTCCACTGAAAAGCTTCATATGGTAGTACTGACTGATGCCTTGGAGGCAGAGAAGTCAAACCCAGACTTACAGTGTGTGTTGGTTTCAGTTAATATGAGTTGTTGTTCCTTCCAAAGGTGATGGAGTTTAATGTAGTAAATTTGCAATCACCAGCCTGGTTGGTTTCTTTGAGGAGTGGGATTCGGTTCCGGTGGGAGGTTGTATATGCTGCAGGGGCAGTGGCCAGCCTTGGTAGAGTTTTCCTATTGGGATCCTCATGGTTTCTTCCCCTTATTCACGTGCCCATAATTCAGCATTGGGCTGGCCAGTGACAGACACTGATACATATAGCAGCTGGTTCTTCTCTGTCTTGGGTTGAATTCTCTCTCCTATGTTGGATGCTCTCTGGAGGGCATTAATGTTTATGCTTCATGTGAATATGTCAACACACCTTTTTTCCTGACTTACACAGTCCCTGATCCTACATTTTTTCCTACCAGTGATTTTACCAATAAGCCAAGCCATTTGGTACAGTCCATTCTTCCTGTTTGGGAAGGGAACAATGGGCTGAAGTCACTGCTGCCCCTTGTACTTGCCAGTCCTGCCCGGTCCCAGAATGTCGTCTGCTGGAGCCCCCTATTTATGGAATGGCTCCACTCCCACAGGACGACGTAGACACCTTGCCAACTCAGCCCTCCGTTCTGTTGGCTGACCCCCAAACTCAAAGTAACAGTGCCTCCAGTGGGTCGAAGCGGCGGGACCTTGGATGGCTGGGCAAGTCGCAGCGGGATTGTTTTGTTTAGTCTTTCTTTAAATAAAAATTTAAAAAAAAATTATTGCTGGGAGTTGTGGCACACACCTATAATCCCAGTTCTTGGGAGGCTGAGGTGGGAGGACATCTGCAAGTTCGAGGCCATCCTGGGTTAAGTAGTAAGTTTGAGGTCAGCCTGGACTACATGGCAAGACTCTGTCTCAAAAAACAAACAACACAGAAGTCAGTTATCAATAAAGTCATGGGTTTATTTCTGGAGTCTTGATTATATGTCTATTTGACTTCTATACTCATTACTTTATTTTTGTAATAACTTTTTAAATTGAGAAGTGTAGGTCCTCTAACTTTTTTGGTTAACTTTTTCCTCCATGGCACTTTTCTTTTTTTTTTCCTTTATTTTTGGATACAGGGTCTTGCTATGTTACCCAAACTGACCCCAAACTTACCACAATCTGTGATCACAGGTGTGCACTGTTAGTCTGAATCCTCCATAGAATTTTTAAAAAAATTGTAGTAAGAACACTTTAACATTAGAGCCAGTCTCTTAATAAAATTTTAATATTTAATATGATATCATTATAGGCACAGTGTTGTACAACAGAACTATATAATTTAATCATGCACAACTGAAACTTTATATATGTGTGAATATCAGCTCTCCACACACTTAGTTTTTAGTTGATGATTTATAATCATCAGATTTTCATTATCTTTTTCTCTGGAACATTAATCATCTCTAGAAAATTCCATCTAATTCTATTTTCTGTTGAATTTATATTTCCCTAAAATTTTCAAAGGTCTGATGCATTTCTTTCCACCGATACCTTATACCAGTTCAAGACTGATGAAAAAATGATTGTAGTATCCACTCTGACCCAACTTCCTCCCAGTCCTGTTTCACTTACGTGCTTTTGAATCTTTTTCGTACATGTTAATTAGAGAAGGGTCTGGAACTTTTGGGGATCCACTGTCAGCAATGAACTCTTCTTTGTTGCCAGCCAGAGAATGTCCAACCAAAATCCCATCCTATTGTCTGCATTTTCCAAAGACTCTAGGATGGATCTAGCATGCAGGAAACTTAATAAATTTGGGGGCCAAAATTTCCTGTGCAAAGAGAGAAAGGAAAATTGAGAGGGGAAGTGGCTAGGCTTTTGTATAATCTCCACTTTAGGCAACTTAGTGGAGAAGGAAGGAGCTGGGATGATCCTTCAGAGTGGTCCTGCGTAGGGATGAGACTATTCACCAACTTCCCCACTGATCAGTTATTTTATAGGGCTCTGTTCATGAGTGACACATATTTCTGGCAGAGGGCAATTCCCGGAGAGGGCTGAGACTGAGAATTGTCTTGCAACAGCACTGCCGGTCTCAGGGGAGCAAGCCCTTGAGTCCTAAAGGAGGATCTGGGTACTTATCACAGAAACCATTGTAATAAAGTGTTGGTGAACAACAGCATCAGTTATCTTCTATTTCTGTGAAAGAGGGAATTAGAGGGCAGGAAGACATTAGGATTGAAGGTAACATGAGATCACGTCTGATGCGATTGCACAGAAAGGTAAAATTGCAGAGGAAGAAGAAACCATTCTCTGATTTCATAATTGCATGAACTTTTTGCTCATTGCTTTTGTGAAGCAATGCAAAGCAGAAGGCTATATTTTATTTCTATTATTGTTGCTGTTTTTGTCCTTTAGGAGCTTAGCAGAGGGCTAGCCCTATAACACTAGGGTAACTTTACATGTTTGTGAAGATTTCATAACCTAAATAAAAGAATCTTATTTACAAGGGTTTCCTACTTGAGATATCATTTTATTGGAGTTCACTAATGGTGTCAATCCTTTTGATTTTTTTTTATTGGTGTTGTATGTTTGTTTCTCCAGGATGCACACCCTGAGATAGTGTTTATTGGTCAGGATATGCACTGGGGAGTTCCCTGGATATCGAACCTTGGAAGAGAGGTGAAGAAGCAGGAATTGGTTAGGGGAGGCATTCAACAGTAATGCATGCCCAGCCTGCAGCCTCAATGGACTCCATGCAGGGCTAGAAGAAGAACAGGCCTGCCAGAGACATCTTGCATTTCCAGTTCTGTTTCACTTGGTCAGTCAATGGATATGGGATGCCCCTGGAGGATGCCTTTGGATGAAAGTTGGGAAGGCCAAAGAAGTCTCTGAAGGCCTGACAGCAAAGACCTCATAGTCTTAAGGCCGGGCCTAAGATCTTCCTAGTGACTTTCTCCAATGTCACATGGCTCCTAGGTAGTAAGGAACCAGGATTTCTAACCCTGTCAAGAGACTTTCTGTTTCATATGCTCCCTCTCACCTCATGGGACTGCAGTGGACCAGAACATCTCACCAACGTGCCCTTGAGGCCTTGTTCTTGGCAGTCATGGCTAAGTTATACAAACTTCATGTGAAAGTAACAGTTTTAAGAAACCTCAGGTGGCCTAGGTTTAGCAGAGTACGTTCCAGGATTGGCTGAGGCAAAGCATTCCTGGCATGGAGTCATTACTAATTCACCAAGTTCTCTAAGACAATTTATTATAAATCCAAAGGGACATGGATGGAGCCAGCCAACTTGCTTCCCATTTTTGTTCATTTCCAGGGTGGATGCTGAGTTTGGCGTCTCACTGGCTCTCTTTGCTGCCTCTGTCAGTCAGACTTGAGCTAAAAATAGCCTAGATCATACTGAGGTCATTGCGAGCAGACCCAGGGTTCAACTTCTCTGAAACTTTGAGGTGGCTTGGTAGAGAGGATGAAAAGGACAACTAAAGAAAAGAAGAGATTTTAATTGTCTGCAACAGGGGCAGCTTTGTCTGAGCTCTAAACGGAAGACTAATTGCTTTACAAAGGCCTGGCTGAATAAGAATACAGAAAGGTTGCTATGCGCTGTGTAACACAGCGGGAGACAGTGATTGACAGCTGAAGAGGTAGAGCAAAGCGCATGCGCTGAGAGTCTGACATTCCCCGGATGCTTGTTTTGACTGTGTTATTTAGTCCGGTGTGCCTTTGGCTCAGATTCTTAACCCATCTTGGTTTTAGTGTTTCCATCTTTAAAATGGGTCTGATTTGTCTTATTCCTTTGGTACAGGAGCACATAAAATAGTAGATGTAGATGTGTGAAATTTCTTATAAAAATGCATTTCTTGGTCCCTGTAATATGAATTCTGAGGCTTTGGACAATTCTTGGGACTCAGAGATATGAATAAGGATGGTGGAGGAAAATAAGTTTTGTTCTTGTTTTCGAGATCCTTGAATTTGAGTATTCAGTGTTCTTTTATAGGTGGCTTTAGCTCTGTATGGTCCTGCCTCAAATCATGAGTAAAATGGGTTTTCTTCAAAGCAAGTAAAAGTTCAGGAAATGAGTCAGGATGATTAACATGCTAGTGGTGCAACATGATGTGGATCCAACAAAAATATGTTCTTGGTTTATGTGGTGGATTAACTAATGGGCACCTTGTGACACCCAGCTGAACTGAATGAGTGTGGTTCTGGGCGTGGAAGGTCCACCTGGGGATGGTTGCCAACA